AAAAACATAGTAAAAATACCCTCTATAAATGCACACCCTCTCTAAATGAACATTTTTAAAAATTTGTTCTATGGTCCTGAGGGGGTGCAATTATAGAGATTTGACTGTAGTCTGAATTAGAGTTAGATTAAGATTAGAGTATAGCTTTAAGATAAATAAAAAGTTTTTATATAATATAATATATATTCTTATGCAGGGTTATTAACTAAACTATACTAGACATATTTATTAACCATAGCTGCTACAACAAAATTGTTATGGCAGATCTTTGATTTTGATTGGTTAATAGCTGAGGATCTTTAAATTTTGGCCTGTATTACATTATTGTTTACTAATTTCTAGCCGGAATTAACTTTTTGACTTTTTTATTACAAAAATATAAATTTTTATAAAATAAGCCTGCTATGATAAAATTGGCCCAGGAATAATTTTATTTAATAGGTGGCTGTGATTTTATTAGTAAAATTATATGTAATTTTAGTCTAATTTTTTGATCGTGCCTTTAGCCAATCAAAATTGAGAATCTGCTATACCATCTTGTTGCAGAAGCTAGGGTTAATGACATATTCCAGTGTTGTATTGCTAAACTACTGAATATAATTTAATAAGTTCAATATTGTTCAGTTTAGTGTTTTTAGCTACTAGATATGGTAAAGGTAACTACACTGGTTTTATAAAATCCTAATCTTAGTTCCTATAATGTTTTAAAAGTTTTGAATATTTTATTTAGAGTATCTAATCCTGTTTACTTAGTATATTCTTGAGATACAATATAGAGTATTACATAATACAGTGTTATAAATATAACTTTTCTTATAATAAATATAAATTAAAATTAATTATTTATAATTAATTAATTTAAATTATTTGTAATTAATTAATTTATATTCATCAATTATCAATTATTATAAAATGCACCTATGGTGTTTTAGCACCATATATAATTATATTTAATAAAATTTAGGGTTAGGGTTCGGGTATTAAGAATTATTTTTTTTTTATATAATATAATATAGAGCTAATATAAGGCCTGATCTCAGTTTTCGTGAGGTTTTTGGGGTTCTGAACATTTTTACTTAGGGTGCCCGATCCCATTTACTTAGTACGTTTTTTGACCTAGGTGGTAAAACACCATAGGTGTGTTTTAGTAAAAGTGTGAATAAATAATTTTTTTTTTAATTTAATTAATCTTTTTAATACATCTTTATTTTAAACATTTTAAACATTTATAGCATGCATCGCGTTACCGGCTGAAAATTTTATTATCAAACTACAACAATGTTATAATTTTCTCGCGTTGTTTTTTGTTTATACATTTGTTTTGTTACACAATGTCCTGTAATTCTATTGGTTCCGATGTACAATTCTGAGATCGGAAGTGTTCTTCAGCCCAGTGACAACAACCTACGATCGACTTAGTCGAATTAGAGGCATTTAGATTTGGCGAGCGGGTATTTGGGTCGTAGGTATGTTTATTTTGACTTGTATTGTGACCGTATAACACACAGTAACGGTTCTTATTCTTATCAGCTATCGAATCACGAAAACCACGGCTTGGTCCTTCCACTTGGACTTCAAACCGGAACACAATAACCATAGAATCAACAGTTCGTCGGGAGACTGGAAAACAACCACAACTATCTTCGGCACGTCGAGATAGTTGGAAAATAACAACCACGGAGGCTCTCAGTACGTAGAAAATCAACCGGAAAACAATCTTATGCGAAGTTATGTGAACAAGACAATTATTCGAACGAAGACCTTTCACTATGCCACTTAGTGATAGATCTGGGTTTAGTATTTATTAGGGCGTAAAAGGGTAAGAAGTAGGCCATACAACTTTAATTACTTGGTTTTCATAACATCAAATTTAAAAATAGACCCGGCCGGACGGCTTTTTTTTTAAATTTCTTATATAAAATTTTATAAAATTTATATAAAAAAATTTTTTTAAAACCCACCCGGTTATTAAAACATGTAAAAATTTTTTTTTAGAAGTTTTCAAATTTTGACCCGGCCGGGTTATGAAAACCAATTAATTAATTTTACATGGCCTTAGGGACGATAATTGTAAGCAACATGAAACTTATTTCACTTAGGGTCTTCGTGGCCTTTATTTATAATGAAAGATTCGGTATTACAATAAATTCAACAAATGCGACAAATGCGACAAATCTAACAAATGCGACAAATTCGATAAATGCGATAAATGCAACAAATGCAATAAATTGCGCTTGATCCCATGATCTTGAGTCATACTTGAGCTGCAGTAGGTAGGTCGGATTCCGGGGCTCACACCAGAAATTGCTTAGGTTTCATCAATCGCCATAGGTTTCGTCAATCGTCATTAACGAGGGTTTCGTCACTTGTCAGGCATCATTAATTGAAATTTATGCAAAATAGCAATTTTACAATCCAAATTATACACTAGGAACTGGGAACCAGTGTAAGTCCGGAGCGTAAAATATTACAATTATTGTCGTGGCTGATGCTGAAATTTTGACCTATTTTATTAAGAAATTTTAAATTTATTTTGGGCCTTTTCGTTAGGTTCTTTTTAGGGTTAGGTTAGAGCTTAGGGTTAGTGTTGTTTGTAAAAAAAATATATGTGAATTTTTAGTAGATATTATAGATTTAAATGGGGTCCCTAAATTTCAGCATCAGCCAATTTCAGTATCAGCCGCGACAATTATTAAAAAAAATGATAAATTGAATTATTTCTAGTTAATAGTTGTATATACAATAGTAAAGGTCTGTATTATTTGAAAGCATCATACGTACATATAATATTATATCCGACCAATCAGCATTCATAAAAGCGGATGGACTGACAGCTTCACATGATCTCGATGATCACATGCTGTCATAAAAATATTGACTCAAATTTCATATCATGAACTATGTTCCAGTAGACAGAAAATTTTTATTTTATAGGTACTACCTTACTTAAAAAGATTTAGTGCTACGAAAAAAAATTATGCCAATTGCCTGGAAAACTTGAAAACACTTTATATAATTAAACAGAGTGTCCTCCGCTTCACTCCGGATTTGACAATTGCATTTAAGAGTTTATCTATCAGATTTAATCCATAAATGCAAACAACGTTCAAATACCTGACACGTTAATTCTATTTAAATTTCACACTGACCATACAAATAACTTTATGAAAATATAAAAAAAAAAATTAGAAAAAGCACTTGTACTCAAAAGATTCTATTAACTTGTTAATGGGATTTTCATCTGAAAAATCAAGTTCTTCTATATATTGATGGCCTAATTCCAAAAGATTAGGAATACTTTCACAGTCATCAAACTTTATTGGTTCTTCAAAAAAGATTTGCCACCGTTGATAACAATTCTCTAACTTCTCGTACATTTCACGATCTATATCACCCTCTTGTATAGAAATCATAGAAGGATGTTGTGGCCAAAAAAGTAGATCTCTGTATAGATTAGGTAATGAAGGATCTGGTACATAACATCCTGTACCTAGAGAAAGCACTGAAATTTTTTTATCTGCCACTTTATATCGTATTGCTTCATCATAAGCAGCTAATGCTGGATTATTGAGATATATTTCTCTATCTAGAAAAGTACCCTTATTCTTGATTTTATGGGGTGAAAAAAAAGTAGGTGCAGCTGTTGTAGCCATTAATACATCAACAAAAGTGCTATTTGCTTCATTACTTTTACTTTCACTTTCACGAACATCATAGGTTGTAAATAAGTGCGATTTTCCTGAATAATCTTCATATGCCGCAGGAATAACTAATTCAGTAAGTGAACGTGATAATCTTGTTTGATAAAAATATTTTGTAAACATATCCAAACGATTATCTTTATTGGGTACGCTAAAGATACAACACCTTTTATTGAATAATTTTTTAAAATCGTTCTTATAAGTATTCAATAATTCTGAAGCTGAAAATATCGGGGTTAAATCTGAATCATTATAACTTTCTATCTCTGATGGTACTGATAATCCACGGCAATTATTCCACCAGTCGATGCTCCAGCTATCATATTAAATAGGTGAGAAATGGGTCTATAAATGCGATATTCTATCTCACTAAGCAATAAAGCAGGCAATATTCCGCGTATTCCTCCACAATCAATTGATAAAATATTATAAACAGGGCACTCATTATTATGAGAATTTTTAAAATAATATAGTTCGAATTTTAATTCTCTTTTATAACCGTCAATGCGATAATTAACAGTATTTTTTATATCTAATTTTTTGATAAGCTTTCTATATTTAATGGCCAAATTATTTTTATGATCTAGTTTCAATGCCTCAGTATTGCAAGACGTAGCTTCTTTATACTTTTTATGTTTAAAATAAGCTATACTTCGTAATCTCCAGTATCCTGACGAAGAATTTAATGCAGGGCATATATCAGAAAGATCGATAACTTGCTTGTATTCAGATAAGTTTAATAAGCATTTTGCAAATCCAAGTGAATGATTCAGATTTTCAGGATCCATATCACATGCTTTTTCATAACTTTCTTGAGCATGTTGCCAATAAAGTAAACTGGTTAACTTATTAATCTTAGCTTCTTTTTCAGCTTTATGCTCAAACTGAATTGCTTTATCATAGTAAAGCTTTGTATCTTGGTTAAAAAACAATTGATTATCCAAGAAATTAATATATTTGTTATATTCCATCACAATGTGAAATGTAACAGGAAATGTTGTAAAATATTTATCAGGTAAATTCTCTCCATTAATTACCCACAAGAAATCCTCTAGGACTTCTAAGCGTGATTCAGCTTTGCTGACAAAAGGTAATTTTCTGTTGAATTTCCTTAATGGTTTGGATGGCTTCATCAAGTGCGTCCATTGCATAATCTGTTATACTAAGTATTGCGGTATTAATCCTTGCAATGTTACTTATTTTGAATAAAATGGCATTTCTCGAAGATCTTCTAGGTAATCTAATGCCAATCTTGTATCCTCTCTCGACATTATTGAGTCTAAAACTGTACCATAAGTGGTTTTAAATAACATCTCCCCTTTATTAGATTTTCTTAATTCGCTAATGCTGTCATCTTATTTTTTTGCCGTTTTAACAAGATCATCATTCAGCGCCTCTTCAAAACATCTCTTTGCTTGGGTTTTAAAATCAGCATGTATGCCATTTATTTTTGTTTCTCTACTACATAAGACCTCCCTGAGCAATACAAGTAGATATGCTATACCATCTGATCTAAAATCATGCTTCATAAGCTTATCTACTATATCATCTATTCCTTTAAGTTTGTTAATTTTATTGTGGCATACTATAAGGCTTATGTGATTATTTTCATCATATTCTTCAGAAAGTGCATTGATGAACTCCTGATATTCTTTTTTATCATAAGCGATTAATGCTTTATTTATTAATTTGGTGAGTTTTTCTCGAATTTATGGCTCTTTTAATATATCATTGCCTTCTTTATACAGACTATAACCGCAATATATTCCAAGAACAATACCAACCTTTCTAGCAGCAAATAAAAGCGGACCACCTAGGGACGTAAATCCTGACACAGCCACCGCTTCATAAATGTTTACACCGGCACCTAAGATTGCTGCTCCTCCTCCTACTATTCCACCTGTTATAGTTACACTTCCTTTAAATATATTCATGTTTGCATGCTTTCTTGTACGCAAAATTTCCTTGTATGATGATTCATAACAAACCAAATTACGATCTGCCTCAATCAATAATTTAGAAGCCATATTTTCTAAATCTTTATTGATTGAATTCTGAATAATCCTTCTATTATTAAAGGAGATCATTTGATCTTTTGTTCCTATTAAAATCATTGCATTATTGAATTTACTATCTAATTTGATATCAGTATTCAAATCGGGTGAATCAAGTGATACACTACTCTCTTTCTCCTTTTCTCTCTTTTCTCTTTCTTCTCTTTTTCCATTAACTTTATCAAATATTTTTTTTGCTTCATTCAATTTCTGTAATGTAAAATTATCCTTATTCTGAGCTTGCAAATGAATTGCTGCTAAAGCATATAACTGAACTGATAGAAAGTTTTTTAAAAAATATTGACATAATGCCATATATCCACGTAATTTTACTTGCTTTTTTAATAACTTATTTTTATCTGTAATTTTGCATGCTGCTCGATATTGATGATAGGTTAATTCTCCCGTATATATGCTTTTATCCTTTAATTCTTGATTCGAAAGCTTCTTGATATCATCTTCTTTTAATACTTTTAGTTTACTCCATTGTCCTTTTGATGCATTATGATAATCTATCGCAATTTTCCAAAGATCATTTTTGCATTTTTCGTAGTCATTTACGTCATCCTCAAGCTCTAAAGTAAACTTATAGTTCAACTTGTTTAACAATTGTTCTTTATATCTGATAATTATTTTAAATAACTCATCACTTGACTTTTATATATTCCTTGAAGCCCAAATGGGGATGATAAGTTTTTGGTTCTATCTGGATGAAAATATGATCCAAGAACTCTAGCATATTTATTAATCTCTTCTTCTGTATTTGTAACTTTTCCAAATACTGTATATACTCACATGCTAAAAAAAAAAAAATTAAATTATATTTTAAATAAAAAAAATCAACTTAACAAAAAAAAAAAAACTTAATAAAAATAACTCTTCCTAATGATTCTTTGTACCAAAATTACAACAAAATTTTTTTCAAAAAAACAGTAAACTATAGTAGAAATGAAGAAAATAAGAATGGTCAAAACTATAAACTGGTACCTGTTATTTAGAGATAGTTCTCATATGCTACCTGCTAACAGGTCTGGAGCTTATTACTTACTGTAAGGATGGCACTTGTTATTTAGAAGTAGTTCTCATACGCTATTTGCTAACAAGTTCAGAGTTTATCACCTACTGACAAGAAAACCAGCAGTATATTTGGCTCTATATATTTTATTAGCTTTAAAAAAAATATACACTCTTTTAAAAAAAGTATAAGGGCTATACTTCACACTATCACCTACTTACTTTTTTAA